CGTCATGGCCTCGACGTGGGCGACGCTCTGCAAGTACGGCACGAGCTCAGCAAAAGACGTCGTCGTTGTGCCTGTCGCCCTTTTCTGGCGGATTTTCATCGTCAGGGCCGCGCATGCGCCCAAGCCAGATGACGACTCGGCTGCACTTCCGTAAATTCGACCCATCTTGGGCACCTCTCTTGACTTGTCGTCGTTGTCCCCTGGTTGATGCACACAGCATCGGCCCAGAGGGGCAGCGCCTCCAGGGTCTTGTGGTCGTACATGGATTCGCGCAATTGGCGCAGGGCCTCGATCAGGTTCAACGTGAACCTGCACGACTTGCCGTTGACGCTGGCGACGCCCGTCTCATCAGGGTCGCCCCATACGTAGGAGAGAGCGCGGTAGCGGACATGATCGTCAAAAGCGACGGTGCGCAGCTCGCACACAATCTTGTCTGTGCGCTTCGCGCTCGGCTTGATGGTGAGCAGGCGAATAGAGGAATCAGACAGCGGCTCATAGGAGGCTTCCAAGGAGTGTCTGCTGCCGGCGTGCAAGAAACGGCGCATGCGTTGGGAGAGTTCGGCGACGTCCATGATAGTGTGTACCGTTGCCAGCGGCAAGCTGGATGTTGGGTGTACTGTCGATGCCAACTTTTCTCAATCTAACAGGCCTTGTCCGGGTCGTCACGCTGGGTTTTATCTCCATCTAGTGCTGATGAGGCGTGGCATGCCGTCCCCCCCCTCCTCCTCCACGCTAAGTGGACGAGGCCCATCGCCGTGCATCCATCAACAGAAGTGGAAGTACAACTCGCAATTTGCAGTGCAGGTCTAGCGCATCTGCAGTGCAGCCCCGTCGCCAGCGGTCTCGTTTCGCGACATTGGAGGCCTGGGCAAGGCTGTAGTGGCGGCCACGCCGTCAGACGATGATGCGTCGCTGTAGTCAAATATCTCTATGCTGGCCACTCGAACTGACGATGCCCCGGGGCTGAGCTGGCCGCAGGCGGTTCGAAGGATCGAGGCGCCTGGTGGGCAGTGGACTGGACTGCAGCTGCTGCATCGACAGGGGGGATTGGTTGTTGAAGACCGAAGGACGGAAACTCGGATGCGAAGACGGTCAAAGCCCCAGAAAGGGAGAAAGGGGGAGGGGTGGGTGACATAAGCCGAAGCCCGGATGCCTCCTGCCTCCTCTCCCGATGGACCCATTATTCACCGGCGGAAGGTGCGACACTCTGACGACATCGTTCATCGACAGGCAGGAGCAGCAGACCTGTAAGCGGCAGGAGTGAGGAATGGGGCACAATGCAGCTCACCAAACAAGAGATACCTACCTCAATAAAGGTAGATACTTAGGTCACGATAAAGTATCACTTGGATTCAGGAGAGTCGTTGATACAAGCAATCCCATCGTACCGATGCAAATGCCCCTTTAAGCATACACGCCACGCAATTTGACCTTCCAAAAAAAAAAAACTCCGTTCTAGCCGCTCATTACAAGTCGTTCCCGCTTCCGTATCCGTCAAGGCAGGGGAATCGTCTGCGCTGCTTTTGCTCCCAGCAGCCACACTTCACAGGCCGTCGCGCATGCTCGTGCCGGCCTTGTGCGTCTCCTCGGCCGCCTTCTTCGTCTTCTCCTGCAGCTGCTCGGGCGTCAGGTTCGCGTTGCGGTCCGCGTTGATGGCCTCCTCGCTGTCCGACGCCAGCTCGGGCTTCCAGTGGCCCTTGCCTTCCTTCTGCTTCCGGAGCGAGTCGTCCTGGTGCTTCTTGTAGTCGGCGTCTTCTGGAGCGCGCGTCAGTACAAGCATGGCTTTTCTTGCTGCCCCCTTGGCGAAGGGGTGTCACGTACCGCCTGCGGACTCCTTGAGGCCGGCGCGCGCCGTCGTCGAGAGCTGGAAGCTGCGGCCGGCGGCAATCTTCTGGGCCATGACGCGCGCGGGGCGAGCAGAGAGAGCGACACGAGAAAGCATCTTGACAGTTGTTTGCGTGTAGATGAGGACGGGGTTGTGTGCGTTTCGTGGGATCGATGAACTGAAGTTTCTCAGGCAGTGATGTATGTGACGAGCCAATTTTTTTTTTCCAAAGGGGCAATTGGTAGTGGAAAAACCTCAGCAGGAGCATTCAGTTTTAATACAAACAGCAAGCACCCGAGGACCAGTGGAACGACAAGCTCCCCTCGCAGCGTCATGACGATCGCGGCCGAGCTAGGCGGCTCTTCTCCATGGCCCGTGACGTCACGATCGCGAATGGTCCGGTGCTGTGGGGACCTCTTTCCCGGCACGGGCAGGAGGAGGGAGACCAGCCATCGACAGCCGACGCATTGGAAAAAAGCTACTCCTCAACCGATCTTCCGCCCCCCCCCCCTTTTCTTCTT